CGCCTCTCGCTACTCTATCGCTATTTCTATGGCAGCTCACTCTCTAGCCTTGATAGAGTTCAAAAGCGTCTCCGAGCCCTTGTCGGTGACGAATTATTCTACACCCTTCAGCCTCTCTCCCACGGGCGGGATGTAGCAAGCCTCTCGCTGATCTACCTCTATTTCCACGGAAAGTGCTCTGGCGAACTAGATTCCCTGGTCCCGCCAAGGCAAACCTTCGTGCCAAGAACATGACATGCCACTTACATTGTTGCAAACCACCCACATTCCCTCTGCATTCCACTGGTGCAACTTCTTCCCGCGAACCACTGCTCTGTGGGACCGACTCCACGCTTTGCCTGATGAAGGTCGCGAGACCGGAAACGCGTGTAGCAAAATTATAGAGAATAAATCATATTTTTAAATTCACATTAAAACCAAAAGTGTTTTGCGGTTTCTATCTTCTTTTTTAATATACACACTCGTTGGGACGATTATAACCTCTTCCCTTATATATACATATATATATATATATATATATATATATATATATATATATATATATAAGAGAGGTTATATTTGTTCCCACGAGAGAAAAGTGTATATTTTAAAGAGAAGAGAGAAACCGCAAACGTTTCTGGTTATATTGTGGATTTTTTAAAAATATATATTATACTTTATTTTCCATATTTTTGCTACACGTGTTTTCGGAGAAAAATTTGGGTTACTAATACACGCAAAAATACACTGGTTAAACATCGGTAAAACATAAGGAAAATAATTTTCGTTTCATAACATGTGAAAGTAACCACTCTTCGTCTGATGAAGGTCGCGAGACCCGAAACCCGTGTAGCAAAAATATGGAAAATAAATATAATATATAATTTTAAAAATCCACATTATAACCAGACAGATGAGAACATTCTTCACAACATGGCTGCAGTAAACGTCACATTTATTTCAGCAAGGGGCTGGTTACCCTTTTAGGAAAAGTACACTTTATCACAAAGACATTTCATTCTAAGATGCCTGTATCTGCACGTTTTTGTATCTGAAACGTAAACAAAGCAATTCCTAAAAAAATAATGGATTTTATTTTTAATTCGACACTTCTATTTCTTCAAACATAATTTGTAACGGATACTCGTATTTGAAATAGACGCTCTGTTTTATTTCTTTATTATTTCAAACAGCTAATATTAGTGTTTGAGCCTTTTATATTATATTCTTACTCTGTCCTGGATTCTATCCTCTTGGGAATTTACATACATACATACATACATATATATATATATATATATATATATATATATATATATATATATATATATATATATATATATATACTGGCTGTAACCGCAAAATTGTTAAATTATTAGATAAATCTTTTAACCGTTGTATCTTAGTAATGATTAAAGATATCTAACTGGAATATTATAATACTCTTGGACTCTACATTGAACAATAAGAATGTATAATTCCTCTCCAAGTAAAATGAAATCTGTCATTTTCGAAAATGACGTGTTCATCGTTAATTAATCATAGTTAAAGATCGGAAGCTCATGAAAGAGTGAAGGAGTTACGACATTCATTCTTATAATTAAGAGTGCATGAGATTATACTAGGAGATTTCTTATATGGGGAGTTAGGTGATGTATTATTATTGGTGTCTATCAATATATCGAGAAAAGGAATTTTATTATCATTATTAAGTTTATATGTGAAAAGAAACTATTAGGAACCATTAAATATTTTATTCTTAATTCAACATTCTAATTACTTCAAGCGTTATTATAGTGGATCCTCGTATTTGAAATAGCCGCCCTATTTGTATGTTAAAAAGAAGAACACGTATACCATCATTCGTTTCCATTTATACTTACATACAGAGAGGTTCATTGTTCGGCAAAGCTCTATTTTCTTCTCGAAAGAGACGCGGATGTTCGACCCCTGTTGGTGCGCAGTTTTTTTGATTGTGCAGTCCGATAGACCATTTGCCCTATTTAATTTTATTCTAGGAGATGAATTATTGTTTTTAACTATAAGGTTAGAGGTTTTAATTTTTTTTTTTAATAAATAATTAATCTATTTTTTTTTTTTTTTTTGCTATTTTATTCCTGTGTGGCACTCCTGCCTTGCTTGGGATGAAATGTTTAAAAAAAATGTTTATATCTGAATGTCTATATCTAAATATCTATGACAGCTTCTTCTCTCCCACTTCCCAACAGTGGAACTTCCCCTCCTCTTACTTGATTCCCTGATAATTATAATCTTCAAATATTCAAATGTAATGTCAATCGACATTTTCTGATGCCTTGATCCTGATCCCAGTCTTTCTCTTTATTCTTTCCACAACCCCACCCCTCTTTACTCTTGCTTTCATTCTCTGTAACCCCTTGCATGCTAGTGGCACTCCCGCCTTGCTTGGGGGTGAAATGCTTAAAAAAAAATTCCATTTTGTGAACAGATAAGTTCTACGCGTAAACATTGGCTGTAAATTATTGATTTTTTTTTTTTGTTTTAGGTGCGATGGCAGCTTTTGAAATTTACGTAGCAATGACCATCCTTTGGTTTGGTGGATGGTGTTGCGAAGAAGTGGTTGTTATTTAGACGTAAATTTGTGAATTTGATGGTATGGTCGAGACTGTTGCGGTGTTGCTTTGGAACGAGATATGTTGAGTAAGCACCATCTAGCACTCCTACACTGGCACAGATACATAGACAATATCTTTTTGGTGTAAACTGCTAACGGAAGCGTAATGTTTACACAGTACAACCAGCAAGGTGTGATCCAGCTCAAACTTCGATCACGTGACCACAATAGAACCAACTAAGTACGCATGTGCAGAAAGCAATGGAACGAACCGAAAGATATGTTATAGCGAAAGTGCGGAAAATGTTCGACTTACTCTTGTATATGAGTGACTCGCTGTAGAGCAAGTTAGATAGCTGTCTCGAATGCTATTATTGCATCGTGAAATCGATCCTCACAGGGAACCTATCAATTGTAATCATATGCCAGGTTAAATAGACATTCTTAATACCTATCTTGGTGTTTCCCCAGAGAGTAATAGTTAGGAAGTTACAGTGCATTGCTGCAGTGAAACAATTCTCATAGATTGTTCCGTTGATGATACTTTGCTGATGTCGATCCTCATAGGGTGACACATTCTTTTGCCTTTGTGCCATATGAAGCTGAGCTTATTAAATAATAGAAATATTCTAAAAACCTTTGCAGAATCGGCGTGAAAGACAATGGTGTCTTTTAAATGAAAACGTTCTTAGATTTTTTTAGGCCATTTCCCTTCGAGACATGAGCGGTCATAGCCCACCACACCTATTTTTCTCTATTACATGCTTGAGGGCCCCTGTCTACCTTGGATATTCAATTCAAAGCTGTACTGGTGGTTGCTGGAGAGCTGAATTAATGCTTTTACATAGAGCATTAGTATGATAAAAGAATTTAAACTTGGCGTTGCCAATTCTGTTTTTCATGCTGATAAAGGTTACACTACCCCCACATCCTTTGTTAGTTTTTATAGCAATTTCTAATGATAACGCTATATCACCAGCGAAAAAATACGGACGATTCTATTATTAAATAAGTAGATCACGTGATCATAAAGGAAACATATAAATGGGAATTAGCGTGACGTCTAAGTGATCGCTATTCTTTATACTGTTGTGGATTCCGGGATAAAATCCGGTACCAATAAATAACAAACGCCAGGAATGAATATAGGAAAATAATGTATTAACGTAATAATACAAACTGGTAATGCGGGTTAGTAGTTCCAGGAATACGGGTTAGTAGCAAAATATATATACAGTCTTTGGTATTGAAGTATCGCTCTATCACTTCTTACTGAATCTACGTGATCGCTCACGGTGACTCTTGCTCGCTACCTTCGTTCTGTCTGTCTGTCTGTCTGGCTGGCTGGCTGGCTTCACACGCTGTTGCTCTTGTCTCTCGGGTCTTCATGTAGCAGTAGTATATGTATATACTGCATGAGTCCATTTGTGTAAAAAGGGGAGGACCCCTCAACATATACTATCCACTATACTATTTCACTATACAGTCGCACTCTCACAGACGTGCCGTCGCGTCCCTCTGTTTTTTTTTACAAATACTTTCACGGTAACTGCTCCGATGAGCAGCTTTCGCTGGTTCCCAGACTTCATGAATTTAAGCGTTCTAATAGGCTGGCATCTCGTTCACATTCTTTCACTGTCGAAACTGTTAAATGTAGCCGTCTCTTCTACACCAATAGCTTCATGTCTCGCACCTCTCGTCCATGGAACTTCCTCACCTTTTCCTGTTTCCCTGATAGCTATAATCTCCAACTATTCAAGTGTAATGTCAATCGACATCTCCAGATGCCTTGATCTATCCCCTATCCTTCTCTTCATCCTTTCCTCTATCACTCCTATTTGTTCTCGCTCCAACTCTCTGTAACCCCTTGCGTGCTAGTGGCTTCCCGCCTTGCTTGGGGTGAAATGCTTAAAAGAATACTGATCATTATATGAATTACTATTCGGCGATTACTATTTGAACAAGTATTATTAGTGCGAGTATTACTTAAAAGGCTTTACTACTCCCAGTATCTGCGGTTCTAAAGACTCGGCAAAAACAAACATTCGGAATTGATAACGAGCATTCGATGACCTAGCGAAAGTTCCAACGTGTGATCGTTCTAACATCACAAAAATTATTCCTACACCCAAGGATTACAGCATCTGGTATTTCCAGCTGGTCATTCATCAAGGTACTGAAATTTAGGGTTTTCCCCTTGTTGATGGAAGGTTTAGTCAGTTAGTTTCCTACGTTGATGCACAATTGAGAGATCAAGTCTCTTTAGGTTCATGACTGACAGGGCAGAGGATTCTTACCACATTAAATTGCCGATCCTTCTCTGTTTCTATACTGGTTGCCAACCATGGCTATAGGACCCAATCCGTCATGCTATTTAATCCATAGATGGGGGTATAAGAGAGGTGGATTTATGATTTCACAAGGCATG